TATCTATCTATCTATCTATCTATCTATCTATCTATCTATCTATCTATCTATCTATATATCTATCTATCTATCTATCTATCTATCTATCTATCTATCTCTTCATCAATGTCTCTCTTTCTCTGAGGTTATGATTGAACAGCTAATCTTCTAATAGTTCCCGAGTCCAATTCACATGATGGTTGTTTCGCTACAAGAAAACGTGTACATTGTTCCTAGATTGCCTTTCTTGGATATGACTCAAAACAATATTCCAAGACATATTTTCCACTCTATTCCTCCGTGTCTACCTCTGCCTCTACCTCTGTCTCTGTCTCTGTCTCTGTCTTTGTTTATGTCTGTCTTTCTCTCCGTTTTTCTGTCTGCCCTCCGCCCCTTCTCTCTCTCTCTCTCTCTCTCTCTCTCTCTCTCTCTCTCTCTCTCTCTCTCTCTCTCTCTCTCTCTCTTTTCTCTCGCTCTCTCTTCCTCCCTCCCATTCCCCCTTTCCCTTTTGGGTCTTTTGTTTTATTAATTGTTTCTGAACTCTTTTCAGATGCCGTTAACGGTGAAAGTTTCAGAAGCTGCCGCAGTTTTAAGACATTTTTGTCCGAACAAAACGACACAAAGCAGCCATTTTGTTCGTTGCCCTGTCTTCAGTCGTCCCTACTATTGAACAATATTTTACGTTGCCATTGACGCAATTTAAGTGATTTTGGGGTATGCCTTTTCAACCGTTCCTGGGCTGAGTCGGAGACTGCATTTGAGCAGACAGGCAGAGATAGATAATCGATAAAATAACTTCCCCTCTCAGGAGTCGAACTAACGTTTTCTGCATACAAGGGCGAAGAGTCTAATCGTACACCACAAGCACCGGTGTCTGTGGTGTACCGGTTAGGTGCTTTATCGTCGCACGAAGGAGACGCGAGTTTTATTCAATTGCGGGGAGAATTTTCATCCAGTATCTCGGTTTTTGTACAGGGACGTTGTACCCCTCTACCCATCTAAACTGTTTCGATGGAGGCGTAAAAACATCGACTGAAAAAATAATAAATAATTTTAAAAAATGAACAGCACAGAAATCAATGTCTTGTCGACGACGTCAGTCCTGTTTGTGGACCCCAAAGTACGGAGAGTAGTTCCAGCAGACTTTCCAAGGGATTACGTGGGACTGATCTTTGCATTTTTTTTTTACATGAGCATGATTTAACCCTATCCATATGCCCTGGTTTCATTTTGTACTCCCGGAGTTGTATTCTTCACATTTTAGAATACTTCCAGTACGAACATCTCTTTGAAACTTTCAGTATTTCTCAAAATATCATTTTGACAGACTGCTATGCAAAGCGTACAGATCGGATTAACGAGTAAATTTCCTCTTTGGAAAGTGGTGGCACAGAGTTCCCCACGTCGTATTGATACGGCAGTAAAACACGACGTACGGATAGGGTTAAGTCGTGTGCCTTTGGTCGATCGGGTGTCACGTGTCATATAGGAGTTGTATACGATTGGTCTTTGGAATGTCACGTGCCATTACAACGAAAAGGCAATGTTTTCTGTCCGTCGCATGAGTAGTCTTTCATGTATATTATGATATTTTTTTAAAACACTTGGAAACTCGGTGGTCTGAGATGTGGAACAGAACTCTCAAAATGACATTTTGGGCACGTAGTAGTTCATCATTCGGCTCTCGAATATTAACTTGTCTACTTTTACTTTTATTTCTCATTTTTGTTGTTGTTCTAATGCTGTTAAGGATTTTGTTTTGGCAGTGCGGCTGTTTTACTAATCGGATCGTGTTTCTCCTCATTACATGTTAGCACGTACGCACGTAGACAAATAGGCCAGCAATAATAATTATTGTTGATGGTAGTGTGGTACACAATGGATGAGACTAACAGTATTAGTGTTTCTGATGTTGTCTTTTATCTGTGTCATGCAAGCTGTATTGTGTGTGTGTGTGTGTGTGTGTGTGTGTGTGTGTGTGTGTGTGTGTGTGTGTGTGTCTGCGAGATAGAGAGAGAGATAAACAGAGAGCGAGTGAATGAGAGAGCGAGTGAGTTAAACAGCGTGCGAGAGAGCAAATGAGTGAGAGACAGACAGAGAGAGAGAAAGAGACACAAACACACAGAAAGAGACACAAACACACACAGCAAGAGAGAGAGAGAGAGAGAGAGAGAGAGAGAGAGAGAGAGAGAGAGAGAGAGAGAGAGAGAGAAGGAAACAGTCCCAACCTTTATTTCCGGTGGTAGTGGTGGCTCATTGCCTTAGTAATTGACCTTACTGTGTGTGTTATGATCACCGATCAGTTCCCGCTCTAAGCTGTGCCCTAGCGTGGCCGCCGGCGATACAAGCTGGAGATAGAATATTGCTCTCTGTATAATTGTTTTCAGTTCCCTCGGGTAACTCCCTCTCCGGATCGGAAGTACAAATGTTGGTACAACCAGTTAATATCCACTGGATGTCTTCAGTTGTTCGGATTAGCGAGTTCTGAGGTGGAGATAGTTTGTAAACAGACTTGTAAACTTTAATGCCGCTATCTCTTGACGTTTGAAAAGCTTTGGCTCTTGTCGCAAGAATAAATATGGGTCTTTGATGTACGCGCAGTGCGTGAGTACGGGGAGATGCGTACACATACTCACACGTGCTCTCTCTCTCTCTCGCACGCACACACACCTACACACACATACATATATATATATACACACACACACACACACACACACACACACACACACACACACACACACATCGAAGCAGGCGTTAACGGGCACGTGTTTTTGTTGTTGTTGTTGTTCTTAGAAGACATAAACATGCACACCTGGGTGCCCTCACATGATTTCATGTACACTTAACACATAAGCAGTCAAGCACATGCAATCTTACACGTATACGTATACATGCGCCCTAAATATAACTATGGATGTAAATAAATAAAGTGAAAAAATGGGACGGGAGGGCGGGGGGTAGAAATGGTCTTTTGTACTGAATCAGAACTAAAACGACACCTTATCCCCAAACCAATTTTTAGAGACTAGTGAATCAAACTTCAAATAAGGGGGCTCTGGTGGCCTAGAGGTTAAGGTGTTGGCCTTTCATTCAAAAGGTCCCGGGTTCGAATCCGGGTAGCGACCGAAAATATTTCTTCTCTGAATTTGTCTCCTTTCACCTCATTTCCTGCTCTCTAGCAATGTTGTGTCGTCTGCTTTCGTCTCCTCTTTCTGCCCCCACCCCCTTACCTCCTTTGCCCCTTCCTCTGGGCTCCTGATTCTTTCTACAGCCTTTCTACTGCTACTCTTTCGCTTCTTCTTACTGCTGTCTTTCAGCCACACCCCTGATCTTCTAGTAGGAAAGATCTACACCTAACCTTCTCGGACAAGGGCGAAAAATCTCGGAGGGCCCGTGTGCAAGTTGCGCACGTTAAAGATCCCTTGGTGGTCTAAAATCGATA